AGGGAAGCACGCTTTCGCAGGCTCTCGCGCAAGCTCAAGGAAACACATGCAACTGTCCCTCGCGCAAAGCATGTGAGACTGTGCCTCACAGTGTCGCAGGCTCCAGTGCAAGCTTGAGGAAACACCTGAAACAGTCTCTGACTTTGCAGGCTCTCGTGCAAGCCAAAAGAAGTGCGTGAAGTTTTCCCTTGCCGACCACAAAGCCAATTTTGGTTCTAGCGAGACTGCCCCCTCACAGCTTTACAGGCTCCCAAAGCCCCAGCAAGCTTACGCAAGTACGTGAAACTGTGTCTCACAGCTTCGCAAGCTCTCAAGCAAGCTTAAGGAAGCGCGTGAAACTGTCCCTCGCAGCCTCGCAGGCTCTCAAAGACACTCAAGGAAACCTGTCCTTCACAGCTTCGCAAGGTCTCGCGTAAGCTTGGGGAAGCACGGTTCGCAGGCTCTCGCGCAGCGGGTTCTGGTTGTGCGTTCGTGGTTTAGGATTGTTCTTTGCTCTTCCGAGACGTGTTCCAATCTGCAAGAAACAGCTGTTGTGGACTCGTGCGAGATTCTCGGAGATCGTACGTGAGGAAGTCGGGGCGATTGTCTGTTTCTAGGACCCGAAGCCTTGCAACCCTTCTCCGTTGGCAGATCTCCTCAGCAGCCTTCAGTTTTCTCGTTGTCTTGGCAGCTCGGCCCTTAGCGATGGTTCTGTGGTTCTGTTAGAAGCTGTTATTTGCTGGGTTGGCAGACTTTTTGTTCATGCTAGTGAAAGCGGCCCCTAACCCAGTGAAGAGTTTTCACACGTTCGTGCCGCGGAGTTTGCGCTTGCGATCTTGAGAGCTGTTGTTATATGCTGAGTCTATGCCGGGACACTGGCACACGCTGGCACCAGTGGGCAGCTCGAACCCTCGGTAGAAGTAGCAGTACCTTGTTGTTTCGCGTGCAAATGCTTGGTGAGTGATTGCGCTTCTTGAGGTGGCTGTTGACGAATGTGTCGATCAGCGCTATACCTCTTGATTGCCCAAAGTGGCTGCGGGAATGCCAGTGTTCGAAAAAATCAGCGAATGGTTGATTTCCATGAAGAAAGAAAGATAACTGACACGAGCCACGGAATGCAGACACGTGTCACCAATTTTGGCAAGAAAGATAAGACGTGAAGACACGACACGAGGACAGGACCGAAGGACACGACACGAGGACCACGACACGAGGACATGACAATTGGGGATTTCGGGCTTATGGTTCAAAAGTCTCGGGCCCCAGCCCTCAAACCCGAAGCACTAATGCATCTCCAAAGTCCTGAGCGCATCTTCGCCTAGGCCACGTGCTTCCTTCAGCCCAACTCCTGCCGAACCTCAAAATCCCCAGCCCCAGCAACATCCTAGAAACCTTATGAGCCTCCAGCTGGCGCCCTTTTTGGCAGGCCGCCGCCTGGAGGAGGCGGCTTGGGCCTGGGCTCGCGGGGACCCGTGGGTTGTTGCGTTCGTGGGTTGTCAACAAAACCCGAACCATAGCGGGCCTAAATCAGACACTGACTGTCTTTGATGTCCAGTAGGATCTGTCAAGAAATGGGGTGGTCATCGGATTCTTTGGGGCTTCAGGCTCCAAGGTTCAACGTCCTTCAAGCTTCCTCGAGGGTTGGTCAGGGAAAGCTGAGGAATCTACAGCCGCGACCTTTACGTGCTGTGTGGGGTTTGAGGTCCAGGAATGTCCAGGATGTTTCGTTGTGGCTTGCAGGCCACAGGGATCCGGGGCCCCGAAAGCCCCAAGCCGAACATACTCAGACCTCCGCCTCAAACCCCGCCCCGATCCCGAGCCCTGGAACCGATGAAGTTGTCACACGTTCACGTGCATGGATGCCCCTGCCCCCCATGAAGACGTGTAGGGCAGTGTAGGGTTTTGTTTCAGCGCGCCCTGCTAGCAAGACACCCACTCCACTTTGCAGGTCGACCTGTCGCTGCTGTGTCCAGAGCATGTGTCGGACCCGGCTCACAGGTCCCACAACGATGGTCTCTGTCTTTGTCGGGCGCAGGACTTCTCAGATTCTCCATCTGGTGCATATCCTTGTACAACTGTCGTTTTGGGCCATGGCAGAAGGGAGGCTGGTCGAGCAAGATCAAGGACGCGGCCGAGGCCAAGCTCAAGATATCTAGAGTGTGTCAGACAGAGAATCTAAGAAGCCTAGTAGTGCGCCCTCTTTGTCAAACATCGGAACATGCATTTCCTCCAAGAACAACTCTCCCTCCGTTCCCAAAGAGTAGGCTCTTGTTGAACCCTCATCTGCAATCTGCAGATGTGCTCCGACAAGAAATACAGGTTGTTTGGAGCTCAAGATCCGACTCATGCTGCGGTGCTAGCCCCCTAGTCTTGAGGCCTGTTCTGAAACCGCATCACGTGAGCGCTCACATGGTGGTCGCGGTTATGGCGTCGGCCCCTTACCGCACGGTTCGTCTCTTGTCCAAGGCTTTGCCGCAGAGTCAGCCACACCATCGTCCATGCCACGTGAATCCAATTTGCTTTGTTCTGCCTGCATTTGCTGCAGTGTGGCCTTGGGCAGAACCCGTGTCGTCGTGGTTTCGCACCGATCCGGATACTGCAAAGTCAGGATCCAGACCAGGCATGGAGCATTTGAGGAATCCTCCAAAAATCTGCCGAGTTCGTACTTCAGCACGCCCTGCTAGCAAGACATCCATTCCTCCTTGTCGGTCGACCTTTCGCTTCTCAAGCACGTGAGAACCCTGCGTAAATCAGAGCTGTTGCACGTTGAGAGCCCAAGTAATCACGAACGACCCTCATTCAGTTCAGTTCGGATCTTGAGTTCGAAACAATCATGTGGAAATTACACGTTTATGCTCCGGTCCGATGGCACAAGCATCTCTTTAGGCAGCCAAGAAGGGGGAAGGGGGGAAGGAGACCGGATCCTGGCTCTAGAAGCCGAGGTGAATTGACTTGTCATTGTCATTCCACAACACGAGTGGTTTTGGAGCAGGCTGCAGGCATCAGAGTCCCAACAAATTCACCCCAGAAAACAACGACATGTTCAAATCATAGTAAGCTACAAACAGTAGTGAACAGCAATAGCAACATTACTAATACTAATATGTACAGCCTCAAAAAGAAACATGATTTGAGAGCCCATCGCTCTCAAAAAGCCCTTCCCGGTTCCCGTGCTAATGCCTGCTATTGCCTGCTCAATACTCTGAGAGTGGTTCTTGATTTTGCATTGTATCACAGGAGTATTTGCAGAGTTCAGCCGCCAGACGAAGAATAGGATTATGCGCTGATTGCGCTGGCGCCATTGTTCTCTTCGACCGTGCACTTTGCATTGTGAATGAACTGTGACAGTTACGGATCTCTGGTGGGAACTCTCTTGGCAAGCCCCGATGCATCGTGTCCCTTTGGTAATCCGGCAGTATCCCTCCGCATTTAAAATTCTCTGCGCCTCATGAAGGTTGCCGGGATTGGAGGAAACTAAGGGCTTGGTCCTGAGTTTCCTTTAGTAACCTTGAGTTTTTGTCGCCGTTTTCGGGCTTCAAGATGATCTCATTTGTCATTTGTTACATGAATAGACCTTCTAGGGCTATATCTTGACTAACTAGACATGGGTTCCCCCACCTTGGAAATGGAAGAATTGAACTGTGTTGGTTCACAGCGGATACCCACTTGCCCAGTTCAGCTCTGCGATGTGCAAGGCCCGGAATTTTGGCAGAGAAGACAAGGCAACTCTGTCCTTTTTCGATGTGCAACCCTAACCCTAAGATGCAAACCTAAATTGTTGGTTGCCGCCTATGTTGTTAACCAGTTGCATTAGTCAAAATGACCTTCAACTGTGTCAATCGCAATCGTTACATTTGATACCAAATGAAGTTGGAGGACCTAATATGATGAAGAGTGTTGATTCATATGTTTAGATGACTGAAGCTCATATGTAAGTTAAAGGCCAATGGGTTATGAAACGCCAGTTACTACAATGCGTTTGTCAAACATATGCTGCTTTGTATTCACATACTTCTCCCCCGACACATCCTAGCAAAAAGGTGTTGCTTACCTTTAGGCACAAAAAAACATGTCATTTATGCGAACAAACACGTGTTTGTTTTTAATATACATCGCCACGCCAGTAGGTCGAGGGGGGGAGGTATATTTGCATATACATGTAATGGAATATTCACAGGCTGTTGGTTCGAATTGAAAGACGCTGCTTGAGGTAAAGTTTGCATTGCCTCACATTTTGTATGGGCATCGCATATGAAGCAGGGTATATATTTCTGTTTTTGATGACTGTATATAAGGTTCCTTTTTAATATTGGTGAGTGTATATACTGGGTGTCCTTTTGGGGGTACAAGACATATGGCCCTTCCTTAGTAGCAACGGCTAGCTGGTCTACTTCGGCCAAGGAAAGTTAAAGATTTGAGAACCGTTTCGGAATCTGCTGGGTTGATTGTGAGTGTGTGTGTGTGTGTGTTTTTTGTTCTGGCGGGTTCATCTGAGTCACAGCACCAAGTTGTACAAGCAGGTTGCGGTCAAGCTCAGTCTTATTCTAACCAGGCACAGGGTTGCCACAAGGCGAGGGAGTGGAAGGCAGTGGAAGGTCAACCCATAGGGTGTGCCATGATATGCAGCATGCACATTTGACATCATTTGCAATGTGCCAAATATGTAGTGCTAGCAGAAAATGTCATGAGTTGGGATGCAACTTCTCAACTGGGTTCCGCGAAGTGCTTGCCTTTGTGTGCAAACTGCTTGATGGCTATGCGGCGTCCTTGCTGGGCTCAAACGGTCCAGGTACCACAGCTCATGCAATGCCTGGTACCCCATTTCCTGCGGTGCAAGTCGTCTCAGTTTAGGAGCGGCTGATCGAGACAAATCAAGCTTTTGTTCTAAAATTCCAACAGAACATGGCGCAGCTAGGGGGCCCATCGTCGGTTTTTAGATGCTGTTCCAAACCACATCTCAATGACTGAATGTCGGCAACCAACAGGCATTGGATCAACTGTGTTTGCTTGTCGTAGTAACCATGGTGGCGACATCAGCTGCAGCATACGATCTGGCCAAGAAGTTGTGCCAAGAATATGACAAGCGGAAGAAGGCAACGACATGGCTCGTCACATGAGCTTTTGCAGTCTTCTTCTTCTTCTGCTGCTGAAGTTAGTTGTCGTCTTTGCCAGGAGGAAAAAGAGATGAATGTCAAACAGGAAGCCAACCTGGTGCCCAGCGCGAGCAAGACAGGTGAAATTAGTCAGAAGCTGAGAAACAGGGAAGGGCTAGTCACAATGTGAACTGACAGCCGCGGCTTTGAAAATTAGTTTTCGAACTTATCGTGAGAAACTCCGAATGATGCCCTGGACCGTTTCGGGTTGAGGGTGCTATGCAGTATGAAATTGGGATTCTGGTGTATGGTTGCCGGCCCCTTGTGGGTCTGTTGTTTCTTTGGCAGGTTGTTGACACGGGACACGGAACATCATGGAACAACCCTTTTCTCTGTCTCCGCCTGTGCAAAAGAAGCCCACTCCTCATGAACTTGTTGTAGCTGCCTCTCAAGCTGGACCGGATTGTTTTGTAAACCGCAAGGTCGCAAAGTGACCGAGATTGACTACGGGAAGCATGAACAAACTGTCAAGGAGCTTGACCGCCAAGAGCGAGAGCAAGAATACGCACGCTACTTTGCACAAATGTTCGCATAGCTGTACGGATGGTTGGATGTTGGTTTGTTGGTGAATGGTTGGCACTAGTCAGGCTTGTCGGCCTTAGCTGCCATTTCTTCATTGCATTGTTCCTCAAGGCATGCCTGTGTGCATGTTGTTTTTGATGTGGTGGGCCAAGGAAAGGCGACTGAAGCAGCCCAATGGTGCACATTGGACCATGAACATGGACCCAACTGCAAGAGGTGGGAGGGTAGGAGTAGAGAAATCTTTGTAGCCCAAACAGGCCGGGAGACTAAGTCACCAATTCATTCAATGCTGCCAGCTGCGCATGAACCTGGTATGCGTTCCCATGGCAGGCCCCCAACGAGCTGCTCGCAGGACCACCAGAAGGAGTGGCAGCCGCCCGACCAGTTGGTTGAGTTTCAGAGGTGCGATAAGATGGTCAGAACAAATCATCCTGAAATGGAATTGAAGCTGCAAGCAGGAAACGTTTGGGAGTCTTCAAGTTAGGCGAACTGAGGATCTACGAGCGGAGCACCGAGGAGAAAATTGCAGCAGCTGAACGCTTCCGCCAAGAAGGCAACGAAGCATACAGTCCCTCGACTTCAGTTTTGCGGGGCAGGCTGTGGATTCGCGTGGACCATCTGAACCGAGGAAAGCGCAACTTTGGCCTGGCAGCTGTCCACTACCGCAAGGCCCTCCTACACTTCGACTACACTTTTGCAGAGACCGAGGACCGGGGCGACCTGTGACGAATGTGGACTGGGAAGGTGCTCTTCTACTCCGTCCATTTTTTAGCCAGCCATTGAAGAGTAACGTGGCGCATACGCATGTTGTCTTCGATAGCTTGTTCTTTCGGTTTGCCTGTGTACTGGCTGCCGCTGCCATTGGAGAGGATGTCTAACTCCATTGACAACCTGTCATGACTGTAAGAACCAAGTCAAGCCATAGGCACCCTTGATAGAACTTGATTTTTGGGCAGGGGGTTGTTTTCGTTTTCAAACTGGGTGGTTTCCCGACCCCCATACATTGAAATGCCGGGGGCGCATTTTTGACATCTGAATGGCTTCACGGCCCCATAGATAGAATATGGGTGCGGGGGAGGGTTGTACATGCCATGCATTTTGATGCCTTCCGGGCGAGGTGCATTTTCAGAAGGATTGGCAGCTTGCTGGTAGTTGCACTTTCGCTTGCAACTCATCTTCTATCTATGGTGTCCACCCTAATGCTGCCCAACTCGCCCCAGCCCGGTGGGGGGGGGGGGGGATGCACAAAAGGACCGATTTTACAAGCAAAGGTCCTTTTGGAAAGGCATCTTCAGGGGGGCTACCCAATGCTGGACCCAACTCGCCTCGGTGCGGCCTGGAAGAAATTGGGTGGGGGGGGGGGAAATCATGGGGAATTCCGCGTAAGCCAAACGCTCCTTCTGGAAAGGCATCTTCAGGGTCTCACATAAGATGCAAATGATGGTACACAAGCTCTTTCGGCGGCCGAACTCATAGATAGAATATCAGAATATTGCATATTCGAGGTATGGGTTTGGACATACCCAAGGTATATTCTATCTGTGGCTTGAGGTTGGGGGGTATATATATATATATATATATATTTCGAAACCTCCGAGATTCTATCTCCTTGAGTCGTAGCCAAATGCTGCAGCACATCTGGTGCAGGAGTTGCAAAATCAGGCAGGAGGGACGTGAGTCAAACAGCCGTGAGAAGGGCCCAGGGCTGGAAGCAGTTTGTTGCTTTTGACCTCTGCGGAGGGCTTCATTTTTTTGACGATGCAGGTCGATGCTGTGAAGCTGCCATGTCTGCTGAACCTGGCAGCCTGCAAGTGCCAGCAGGCGAGGGCAAGAGCCGGCAACACAGTTTGAGAGGTGTGTGGAAGCGTGGCTTACTGGCGCATTACGGTACGGCGTGCCACAGGCAAGCACATGGTAAAGCTTACATTGTCCTGCGTCAGGGTGTGCCTCGCAGGAGGACTGGGACGAGGTGCTCACACAGTGTCGGCAGGCGCTCGAGATCAATCCTCGCGCCGCGCAGCACAGATTTTAAAAGTTCCGAAATGTTCAGAGTTTTTGGAGTTTGTGGGAGGTTGTGAGACTTTGAGAGCCCGACTGACACGTGTCACAAGCATTGTCCTTGCGACCTTGTGTTGAAAGTTGCAGGTTGAGTGGCATGAGCACACATGAGGCTGTCAAGGCGCATTACCGTGTCGGCCTTGCCTACTTGGCCAGAGACGAATTTGAGCTCGCAAAGGCCTGGTTTGAAGGGCTGTTGCTTGTGGGAGGACGTGTGCCTTTCTATCGTGGATTCTGGGTCGCAATTGTAAGCAAGTCATGGCCATCTTGGCTGCGAAACCTCCGGTGTAAGGACGCGCTCACCAGTGCTCACGAGATCGAGCCCTCAAATGCTGACATTGTAGCTGCACTGAAGCAGCTGAAGAAGAACATGGAGGACTACAAGACACGTCGGCGCAACTTGACTCAAAGAGGGTAGAACGCAGCCGCAGCACATTCTAACGTGTGTGATCTGGGCGACTCTCTGAATGTCCTAGGAGACGTGGCGAAAGAGATGCTTTCAGGCAAGGGCGATGAAGCTGCAGAATCTGCTGGAAAGCAGGCGCAAGTGTTGAGTCAGGGTTCTCTTTTGAGACAGGCTCCCGTTTGAGTTTGGGTGTCCTCTAGGCAAGCTCGCACGCACGCACGCATGCACACGCACGCACGCACACACACGCGCACGCACACGCGCACGCACACGCACACGCACACACGCACACACACTGACTGTTGTCCATGTGCAGGGGTTTGCGAATGAGCCCTGACGCGAGTGTGGGTTCAAGTATGTCACAATATTTCACAGGACTTCTCAAAGTCCACAGAGCACCTTTGCAGGAGGAGGAGGAGGAGGAGCAGCTGCCAGAGCCGCCGACTCGCCTGGAAGCAGAGGAGGCGGGCTTTGGGTAAGATCAACTTTCAGTGACATCCCATGGTTCAACACATCTGCTCTTTCATCTTAATACTACCACACTATCTCAGCTTCGGCACCAACTCGAGTCACCAGTCGTCAGGGGGTGCAGGTTGCAGGGACAGAAGTGGAGACACCATGAGGAGCCCTCTTCTAGTCTTCAACTCTTGATGGTCTAAGCCACATATCCTGTTGGATTGTCAGTGACGACCTCAGCATGTGAGACAGAACGCTCGCCCCGCTACTTTGATTGAGTCGGTTCGGAAAGAAACAGCCAACGAGACGTGGGTGTAATTTTGAAATTGCTCGCGGGCTGTTGACTCACACTAGTGGATGCTGTTTGACATGACAATTGTTCAGACTTGCGCGTGCGCTGCTCACAAACATTCATGAGCCCCGCGGGGAGGAGTCAAAGGGAGTGCCAAACGAAGCGCCATCGGAGGCTGTGCGTTGGCTGACATGTGGGATGATGTGGGAGAGACATGGTTTAGCACCATCCGAGCACCGGTAGGGCTGGCGAGTGGGCACCCGATACCAGTCCAACACCTCAAAACCCGGTAAGCAATCACCAGAAAGCTGATGCTAAGACTGCGGGTGGTTGTGGAATTCAGCCTTTCAGTTTCGCTGAAGTCATGGCCTCCTCCCCCCAATCCCCTAAACCTTTTGCACCTCAGGGAGGCTCTTTGCGCCGGCGCAAGGGCCGCTAGCTCAGCAGTGAGGTTTGCGACTGTCGTCCGGTGTCTTGGGGCGTTGTTGGGGGGCTGTCTAGGGTTTAGGCAGGGTAGCATGAGGCGAAGGATTGTTAATGCAAGCCTGGGGGGCGGTTTCTGCTTTTGGGTATTCTTTGCAACTACCTGTCGGGGCCAGGGTCGTGGCCGCTCGCCGAGGTGTCCCAGATAAATCCGAGGAAGGTGAGGAGGAGGAGGACGAGGAGGACGAGGCCGCTGTGTTGTGGGACCCTGCTCTTCGCTCTCCCTGTTGGTTGCCAGTTGGGGGCTTTGAGAGGTGCGGAAGCGCAAAAGTGCGCTGCAGTGCTTGCTGGTGGCGGCAGTGGGCAGGGGCCTCTTTTTTTGTCCAGGAGTTTTTGAGGAGCGGCTTTGAGGATCTTTCCAGGTCAAGGCTTTTGGAAACCACTGCACAGTTTGGGGATGTTTGGACTCCCGAGGTCTGGGTGCCCTTTCAGTGACCGCTCTCGCAGCAGCCTCAGCTCTTCGTTCTGGGACTTGATTGTAGTGTTCTGAGCAGGCGCGCCTCTTTGTGCCTTTGAGGCCGTATCGCTGAGCACCTGAGCCGAGAGAGGCATCTGTTCCGCCAGGGCAAGGCAGGTTTCACGATCCCATGCAAAGTGCTCCGGTGCAACATGCGCCGTACGCCACTAGTCTGTGGACGAATTCGCCGCGCCTCGGCCTTCGTTCTTCAAGAACTAGGCTACATCGAGCTGTTTATGTTTGCCAGAGTCGGCAAGCGATGAAGCTTCAACGTATGCTCCGCTGGAGGCGGAAGGCTGATGCGAAGACCAGAAACTTCAGCCTCTGCCATTTGGAGCAGCCGCTGCGTCGAAGAACAAAATTCAACATGGCATGCTCACAAAGCTGTAGCTTGGATGCTCAATGATGCTCAGCAGAAAAGCATCCAGGAGGCTTGGACAAGATTGTGGACCAGTGGACTTCGTGGTAGGCGGCTAAAGAGAGCTCCAAGCAGGCCGAACGCCTCCCTGTCCCTGGAGCTGGAAGGCCGCGACACCGGCTTTTGGTTGGCAATTCCATCGCCATGGGGACGGCCAAAGCTTGGCCCCTGTGGGCACTGTGCCAGCCTATAGACTCAGTCCCAGCAGTCTGGCAGTAGATGTCAATCGAGAGAAGCTTCACGTGCAATGGCCATAGCCAGGCCGAACAGGCCGAACAACACGTCAGGGCGCATGGATTTCCTGCAGCAACACCATGCGAGGTTGCCTATCAGCTCTATATCCTACATGCTTGGCTTAAGTCAAGGCACGTCTCTTGGGGGTGGGTGCAGATAGGCCGTGCCGCTTACAAGTTGCACAGGTCGATGCTTATGCTCTATGTGCGGGTGGGCCAAAGCTTTTGAGCAAATTCGTAGTCACAGGTTCACAGGTACGCTCGTGTTGGTAGTGACATGTAAATTCCCAGTGGCTCGGATCCGTTTCAAGCTGATCATAAAGCAATCCTTGGCTTGATTGAGTTTGAGCTCATGTCAGAAACCTTTCCAAATGTTTCAGAGATGGGTTTCAGGGTTTAGAGTTTCGGGTTTTGAGGGTTGAGCATGCGGGGAGTTCGGGATGGCGAAGAAGGTGGACAGGGTTGCCGGGCCCTGAAACTTTATTCGAGCTTCCCTGACAGCTGGACGCAGTTGACATGCGCGCTCGTTTGCTCAAGACCTCATTGGGCAAGTTCGCCAACATGCCTCAGCCAAGTTTCAGATGCGTTCAGAGCAGGGGCCTGAAGTTTTTCATTGAACCAAAACTGGTTAAACGCCCATCTGGCGGTCAGGGGCCTTTGCACCACGACAAAGCATAGTGTACTTTCACCACAACTTTTTTTTTCACAGCCAGCTTGTTTTTGGCCGGATGTGCTCGTCATGCGGGCACTCGCTTTGTTGGAAGAAGGGAGGCCCCGCAGCCGTAGCACCAAAGCAAAGGATGTTGCATGCCCATTCTTGCATTGATGGGTGTTGAGTGCAAAGCCCCTTCCTTAATGAAGACGTTTGTCCCAGCGCAGGCGGACCATCGAGGAGTCACGAGCTGCAGCGCGCGGCTGGCATGACAGGTCGGGGCCCTTGCAGCTGGTAGACCACGTGCCAGGACACGTTCGTTCCGTGTAAGCTACGCGTGCCAGCGACATTCCAGAATGTTTTTGCTGCTCCCTAGTGCTTCAAAGCCCGGGGGAAGCTAGCCGGCGCTTCAAGCTGACTCGAGCTTGTTAAGGTGACATTTTCAGAAAATGCGTGCATACTCAGGAAGTGGCCTGATGGTGAAGTCCCGGACAAGATAAAAAAGCCGCAGCCTAAAGACTCAAATTGCATGGGCAATCGGTTTTTCTCATGGCGTGATAGGACACGCGACAGTTAGAGTCACCTGCATGTCCTGCAATTTTGCTCCCTTCCTTGCTTACTGGCATGAGCAACATGCAGACGAGAGACGGCTCTTTGCGGGTTTTTGCGTGACCCAAGTCCTGAAGTTGATTGACTCATGCGACGCGAGACCATGCATCCTCAGTCTCAACACAACTTGTTTTGATGTCTTGGAGCCTGAGGATAGCAGGATGGAAGCGTGCCATGAAGGACTGGAATCATTGCCATTCTCCAGCGCCAGCGCGCCTCTCTCTCCGGGCGGCATCCGCAAGCTTCATTCAACTCGCATGGGGGGTCATGTGCGTGTTCATCCTTGATGTTCGCAGGACTTCATGAACCAAGATCCCAAGTTGAACGACCTGGTCGCCTTGCGGGGGCCCTTGCCTCCTCCCTGCGTGCCCCCATCGCGCCTCATGTTTGCTAGGCCCATCTGAGCTCTGTTCCGAAATCCTCATCCTGGCACATGGCGAGGTTCACGCAGAAGTTTGTGCAGCTCGGGCAGAGCCGGAACTTCACTCTCAGCACGTTGATGGAGCGCCAGAGTTCGCTTGAAGCCTTGTGTTGTGGACTTGGGGATGGATTGGGATGGTTTCTTGGGAACCCCTTCTCTCACACCCCCCCACCCCCACCCCACCCCACCCCTCCCCCCCACCCCCGCCCCCCACCCCCCCAATTGGGAACTTCTGCTTGTCCCGAATGTTCTGAGACTCAGAATGGCATCCCTCAGTTCCAGGACATGGCCTGGACCGTTCTGATCCTCACTTGGGAGGCATGTGCTCGTGGCTGCCCTAAATTAGGGTCACCTTTTTTCGGGTCCGTTTAAACAGGGCCCAATATAGGGACCTAAGTTTAGAGAACTGCTCATATGCTTGTTCGGAACCAGAGCCTTTATTCTGCGGAGGCGGTGGTGAACGAGAAGCTCCCCGTCATGGATGAGGTTGAGCGAGGCTTCAAAGAGAAGTACGAGGACACACGGTCTGAGGCATCACAGATTGTTAGTTTAAGCTGGCTACATCACGTACACAATCTTGGACTGGAGTCATGAACTGGAGGATCTGATGAAGACACTGATGGAATGCCGGAGGCACCGCAACGGTTGGTGAAGCTGTGCACGTTCATTGCAGAGAGGTGGCGGGAGGTGTTCAGAAGTGAAAATTCTAGCATGTGCTTTTATCCTTGTGGGCGAGACGCCCGATTCATTGTCGGACTGAGTGCGTGTCAGTGAGCTTTAAGATTTATGGAAAGATTGATGGCTATCCAGCTCAAAGCCTGGTGGGCAAACAAAGCTGCCAGACTCTCTCAGGGTGATTTTAGGCTGTGAAGGACAAGCGCTAGTCACTAGGTGCCATGGCCCTCTCTTTGCGATTCCTGTCTCAAGCCTCCAAGAACATCGTGGCTCATGCACCATCGCCCAAGGCTGTGCGCACTCCCATCACACCAAAGACTCCCAAGACGCCAAGATCACCCCAGTCGCCTTTGAGTCCTTTGACTACGGCATGCTCTGGGTTGAGCTTCTTCCCAGCTGAGGAGGTCAAGCGAGTTCCCAAGAGTGGCACGGCACGGCAGCGTTCCGTCCACTTCGCTGACTCGGAAAGCAAAACTACTTGGGTTGGCAATGCGACCAGCCTGCTCAGCACACAGAGGGTCGGGGCCCTCATGGGGAACTCATTGCTTGGCGGATTCCAACCCCAGCTACGTGTCCAAGCTGCAAACACAACCCTGCCGGACAGCCTCAGCGAGGAGGATGCCATGACATTGGCTACGGCCACACGAGCAGCGGTGTTGGCGCGTCAGGCGCGACAGGAAGATCGCTGCGTGCCAACTCCGCGCGTCTCGCTGGAGCCGACCTTTCCGGTGCTGCTCGGCCGACAGCCCAAGGTAGGCCCACCCTTACGAAGTTTCCCGGTGGATGAAGAGTCCTGTGCGCATGCTGCACGCCAAGCTTTCCTGGAGCAGCAGGAGCGCAGGGCCAGCCGAGCAATGGTGAACTTCGTAGTGTGAGTGAAGTGTTACACTGATCCCCAGAGCAGCTTGATGGGGCAAAGGCTGCGATTTAAAAACGGCTGTATCGCTGCTTGATGCGTTCTGCGGTGAGGCGTTGTACAGACTCCTCAGAAGCGAAAGTGAGCCTCCAGAGCCATCCGCGCAGCAATAGGAATTTGCGTCTCAAGGCCTGAGGAATTCTGAGGAGCATGGTCCGCGTGGTGTCAGAGTAGCTGCTGTTTCAATGCTACTCAGCAAGTGGTCCTACCTCCAAAGCCTCTCCACAGTCCCTGAGCCGAAGAAGTTGCATAGAGCTGAAGATCCGAGCTGGGGTGCAGAGCCACGTCCCAGCTCGTGGCTTCGGCCAGCCTCCCTGTTGCTTAGAAGCTTCTCGAAGTTGTTTCCCCCCCGAAGATGCTTCTGCCAGGAAAAGGGTGCCCACCAGCGTGCTGTTTCATACATATATATCTATATGTATGCATAAATAAATAAAACAAAATAAACAAATACAAATAAATAAATATATATATATATATAGCTTTATTCCAGCTCCGCTTGTTTTTGACCCTGCAGCCATGCACAAGACGTCTGCAGAGGCAGTACCTCTCAGAGGTCGCCGAGCTTCGGGAGCTCTGGGTTCAGGGGGCCGCCCTCTGGGGGTTGCAGTCTGCTGTGTCATGTTATTTTGGAGCCACTCTGAGACCGCAAACCTTAACAACATGTCTGAGAGCGCTGCTGATCCTAAACCCTCCGGACCACCCACGGCTGTCCTAAATTTCCCCAAGCGGCAACCACCAGATGATGCTGAAGGACCGCATACGCAACGCCACACTGAGCCCCTCCATGCAGGCGCTGGGCTTTACAAGAGCCGCCCATTTTTTTTCCTTGTCCTCAGTTTAGGTTCCGGCTGAAAGCCTTGCCCAATAGCACAGCTCCAAAGGTTCCTGGATGAAAGCCCTGTTTGGGGTTGCGGGTTTTGGATTCAATGGCTTCAGGGTGTAGGAACTAGTGGCAATCTTGAGGCTCGAGGCGCCTTGCATTGCAGTGGGCGGAGGCTGCGCTGGCGGAAGTCTCGGACGAAGGCGATGGCGGTGATCACGGTATCTACCGCAGCGCCCTCGATAATCTCGCTCTCTCTCTCCCTCTCTCTCTCTCTCTTCTCTTTTGTTGTTTTTTTCAATTGTTTTTAGTTTTTCCTGTTTCGTTCTCTTTCTTTATCTTTCTTGCTCTTTATTTATCTTTCTTGCTCTTTCTTTCTTTCAGAAATGAGCTTTCAAGATGCGGGTCCTCTTTGCCAGGGCATTGGAGTTGCAGAGTTCACTCAGATTCTTAGTCTTCGGCTTCGGCGCGTTTCTGTCACTACTTTCAGAATGTAGGTCTTGGGGTGTGGAAGTTCAGTTTGCTCTCGCCCACAACACCCCAAAGCCTGTATCCCCCAACATGCCAAGAAACCGCTACCCAGCACTGTTGAGCTTATTCCTCAAGCAGCCATTGCATGATGCTACAACCCTCAGCGTTACGCACGTTACTCAAGCAGAAGCACGTCCATTTCTGACGTCAGCACTTCCAAGAACACCATTCGCAGTCCTGTGTGCCCTGAGTTTTTCTTAGTTTTGTGTGCTCCAAGCATGTGAAGGGCTCGGGCCAACCAAGCAATCCTCCTTATCTCCTGCCATTGGCGCAAAGTGCATGATGAACTGGCATGTGAGGATTTCAGCCTGAGATAGCCCTCGACGAGAAGACCCGAGAGTACTTCAAGGCTGGCAAGCGCCCATGCGAGTTGTCTGCCTTACTGGGGCTTGTGGAAGTCGCGAGCTAGATAACCTCTACTTGCAGCTTTGAGAGCTGGTAGCCAGCCAAGAGCACTATTGTGGTTTTGGCATCAGTTTAATGATGTGGGTATTTCCGAAAATAGGGGACCCCTTGTATACCCCCTTATACACTTTCATCCTTACTACAGGACATCCCCAAAAGCTCGGAAGCCCCCCCATGTTTGGCAGCCATATCAACGCTCCGGAGCCATAGTGGTCTCCAGCCCCAAGTCCCAAATTCAGACCGAACCAAAGAAATCCTAAAAGCAAAGCTCTAAAGTCAGAAGTCTGCACGAATTTGAAAGCAACATGAGCGAAAAGTACAGCAGTGCCGTCTTCCTGCACAATGCGCACGTAGTGTGGGGTGGCATTCTTTAAACGACCATAGGCCCAACGTGCGCGATAAGATGTTTTCGGCCATTGTAATCCCACAGGCAGCAATGCAAGAGAACATGAAGATCGCTCTGACGAAGGGCGCGCAGCCAAGACTCTGGCTGTCTGGAGCATTGTAGCACGCAAGTTCTGCTAGGTATGCGTGTGCAGCAGAAGCCGCATAAGCACATTCTTCTTTCGTCATGGTAGGTGTGGGAAGGCCTAGACGGTGGATCTGTGTCTGTGCGGGTGCTACTTTCAGCGTCCTCGCATCAGGCGCCGCGGCCGCTGGTGAGACGATGCGACCTGACCGTTCTTTAAAGGGTTTGGGCGCCAGGGTGCTTTCGAGTAGAAGCAGAACGAGCTGTTGAGGGTGTAGTGCAAGGCCGTGCCAGGAAGATTGAAAGTGGGTGTGCTTTCCTGAAATGCAGTCTTTGTCTGGCCTTGGGCAGTTTTACATGCGTGCAAAACCTTCCACACGACACATTCCACGAGCAGCATGCAAGGGCAGCTAGCGTCACTGAAGACCTTCACAGTTCTGAAGGCGGCATCGTTGACCGCAGTGGCGGGGCATAAGGAGTAGGGATGTCAGAGCCCAAGCCCTTGGCTGAGGGGTAGGTTTGCTTACTTCGCCCGTAAGTACCCTCGCCTGTATGTACCCTGAGCTCGTAGCAAGCCGTATACAGGCACGGGCCCTGTGTAGACCCTCAAACGGTCACCTTCCCCGAGGGGCCAACACACAGGTCCTTAGCCAGACCCAAGCCCCTCGAACATCATCTGCCCGGGCCAGACAGCTACTCATGGCCCAGCTGAACGATGCCCAAAGCGAGTCCCGAACTGAGCCTTCATATTGTCGAGGGCGTGGTAGAACGGTATGAGTGCTTGCAGAGTCTGGGCTTGAACTCAACGGGTGTCTTCATCTTCAAGTTCCTTAGGACAGGCGCCCAGTGCAGGCCGCATTTCGGAACGCCACAGAAAACCTGAGGCTGGAGAAGCTCAGAGAGCAGCTTGTGCCGGCCCAAGAGAGAGTTGACGACATCTTGAACCTCCGCCAATTTGGGGTCCCTTCTGCTTGAAGGCGCTTTTGAAGGCAATTCTAATCCTTTCTGGGCATGCAAGGATTTCCATCTTCAGGAAGCTCATACAGTCCTGACAGGGAGTGCTGGCTTCCATGAGCCATTGTAGCACGGCTGACATCTGAAACGCCCGCCAAGGAAGCTGCTCTGCTGCAGGCGCAGCTCAGTGAGGGCATGGAAAAGCGACCGCCGCCGCCGAGGCACGCGTGGAATACTGCCATACGCCCTACAATCCCTTGATTCTGAGCACTCTTGCACGGCTACGTGTCCGAAAGCCCCTGGCATTGTAGCGGCATAACTACACAAGCTCTCTTCCTTTGCCTTTGATCCGCTGGCACGACAGAGTAGCTGTGAAACCATGCCCGATTCCTAGAAGGCCCGGCCGCTTTATGGCGGTTTACGAAAATAGGGGGACCCCTATGGACCCCTAATAGAGATCCTCAAATGATAGGATCCCCCTTACTTGATAGGATCCCCTTACTTGTGGGGCCCTACACATCCCACACACCCGCTTTATCACCCTGCCAAGTCCTCAAAACCCCCCCACCCCATATGGCGAGGAAGGTGTCTGTGGTGGACACGTCCTCCCAGGAGCAAGTACGGGGCCATGGCTTTGCTTACGTTCTGTTGTGCTCTCCGGCGGTGGTGGGGGGTGGGGAGGTTTTGGGTAAACCATGGCTCTTTGATTTCTGTGTTGAGATTGTCCTGCGAGCTTTGACTCTGCTAGCTGGTAGGGAGGCGGTGTAGCCGTAGCGGAAAACGTTCGCTCGCCCCAACTTGGTCTGTACACTGGCAGAACCTTCAGATCTACATTCGCCCATCTTTGTTGTCCAATGCCCTTTCAAGTAACCAACCGTCAAACCTTCACACCATGAGCCCTTCACCTTCCTAAACTAAACGCGAAGTCCAGAGTCAACAATCTAACCTCCAACAGTCATCAACCCCGAACCCGTAGAAACTCTGCTCAGCCGGAACACTAGTTTACGGAAGATGCTTTTCAGTATTCGCTTGAGCGGAAGTTGAGCGTCTGCGATACAAGCCTTGTACTGTCGTGAACCAGAAAAGTTCCTAGCACGCGTTTCCTGTGTTCGGTCCTCCTCAGGCCAAAAAAGCAGAATCTGTACATCCTGAAATGTAAAACAAGAGATAGCACAATAGGCCATAAAGTATGATGTATGGCTTACACTACATCACAAAGGGGCACAGAACGAACAACAAAAATGTAGTACAACCGGGGTAATTAAGTACAATCTACTTTTAATTCTCATTAGAGAACCACTGACTAAGTCCCTCCAAGATACCCTAAACCCTAAACCCTAAACCCTAAACCCTAAACCCTAAACCCTAAACCCTAAACCCTAAACCCTAAACCCTAAACCCCAAACACTACTTCCTAAACCCTCCCAAAGCCATTTTGGCGAGGCAAAGAAACTCCAGGCAGAGTTAGACGCCCTGCGCTCCGAGCTCGGCCCTTGGAAAGGCTTGGTCTCAAGCTTCGGAAAGGGGAAATTAGGGGAATTAGGGTGTAGGGTTTAGGGTTTAGGGTTTAGGGTTGACGGTGTAGGGTTTATAGGGTTAAATCAAGGGCAGTCGTAGGACGCTTTGAGGTTAGATTCCACCGGGTGACAGGCCGAAGAATGCTGTGAGCCCTGCTTAAGCTCCGAACGAAGCACGGTCCTCCGTCTCGATTCCCACAAAGACCAGCTGCTTAAACCCTAAACCCTAAACCCTAAACCCTAAACCCTAAACCCTAAACCCTAAACCCTAAACCCTAAACCCTAAACCCTAAACCCTAAACCCTAAACCCTAAACCAGCCTCAAACATACCCAAGGTTCGAAGCCGCGAAGCAGGACTCCGAGAGGCATCGTGGCATCCTCCAGGCGAGGCGCTTGTGCTTGTGCCCCTCTGAGGTTCCAGTCGAAGCCGGTTTAGGGGTTATTAATAATAATGATAATAATAATAGTAAAAAGAGTCATAATAGTAATAGTAGTAATATTATTAATCATAGTAAAAATGATAATAATAATAACAATAATAACAATAAGAATATTGTAGAACTCGGACTCGCTCTGCACCTTCCCCGCCGCTGCATGGAATTGGTCTCTCGGGCTCCGGAGAGACAAGCCCCACTTTCTCTTTTGGCCGCAGCAATGCTTTGCTCACGAATCCCTCATCCTGAGCCTGAGAGGCCGCAGACACCCTAAACCCTAAACCCGAAACCCTAAACCCCAAACCCTAAACCCTAAACCCTAAACCCGAAACCCCAAAGCCCAAACCCTAAACCCTAAACCCTGTCATGCAGAGCCTGCGGCATCCTGCAAGGTGTTCGGCCTCGATGCCAATGCTTCCCTTGACGATGCCAGGACATTCTCTCGATCGATCGTGCGGATTTGGGAGCTTTCGGGGGATGTTGGGGCAACTTTTCGTGTCCTCCACTTTGGTTGCTCCCGGAACCTGAAAACTTCATGGTTCGTCCGGATGCTTGGGGGGGCCTGGGCTTGACACTGTGGGCCAGTTCCTGCAATCGTGGGGAGTGCCCTGCGGAAGAGAGGCTGCAGTGAACTGCAGTGTAACAGGGGACTGCAAGAAGGGAGTCTGACTTTCAGAGCTGACCACACGCCTTGTCTCTACATCTCTGCGCCGTGAAGCCCTGAACGAAGGAAGCTCTGGGACTCCCTGAACACACCGGTGGACGACTGGTCTGAGGAGGCTCAGAAAGTTTCTTGGGGCTCTGGAATTCTGGGGTCTGACTGAAAGGCTTGTCGACTTAGGCTTCTTGGTACTCTTGGGTTTTGAGTTGAATGCAGATCCTTTTTTTCTGGCCGGTCCTGTGCGACGTCCGCGAGGACTGCTGAAAAGATTGGGCTCTGAGGAGTGAGTTCTCCTGCAGGGCCTGCTGGAGCGTGAGCCACGACTCGCCATGACTCGCCTGGTCATTCGAGAGGAAGACTCACTTCCCACTCACACGGGACAGGGAAATGGCAAGGTCAACAATGAGGGGGCCTCGATGCATGTTTCCCACCGCAGCCTGCACTGGGCTTGTTGGCTGATGGCTGGCCATTGCAACTCAGGTCGTGATGCTATGTGAGGTGCGACATAGAGGTGGGAACTCAGGCTGTGCTTCCAAAGCACATGTAAGTTTTGTAAAGAGGTATGGCCAGACTCTCTGGACTCCTGCTCCCTATACCAGCCCTGTATTATGATTCTTGCCTGCCTCGCGTGCCAAACGCCGCCACCCCCCACACCTCTCTGAGCACGGCGTCGTGGCATTCCTTCCGCACGGCGGCTCATGGGATTGACCGTGGCAGCCATCTCTGCCTGCACCGTGCATTCTTCTCATGTCATCGCGCCCTTGATGACTCAGCCCTGCATAGACTTCGACTGCAGCCTGACCAGCCGATTCCAAGATTGATCACTGTGGAAACCAATGCTTTTCAGTTATGTGGATTGGATGAGCTCTCATGAGCCTTCACCCACGTCACCCAAAACAGAAGGTTGAATGGTGAGGGATCGGTTAAGTTTAACATCCCATAACGCATGGCTTCATGGCTTTTATAAGGGGCTTGGCTACGAAAAAAGTGGCCGACCGCAGCAGATTGCAGAGGTTCCCAATTTCATCGCAGAAGGTGCGTGATGAAACCTCTGCAGAATTTAAGTGGTGTGGGTACGAGGTCGGCAGAGAACATCTGAAGACACTGCTCCCTGTGTAGTTCCCGAATATTCCCTAATGTTCCGTTACATGCCCAGGTGCAGAAGCTACGCGAGAAGAACAAGACCCTGCGGCAACAGTCGAAGACGCTGGAGGAGGAGCTAGCAGAGTCCGGAACCCAGCTTGGAGGTTTCGGATTTCTTTCTGCTCATGAGACAGGGGGCTTAGATGACATCTGACATCTTTGCTTCTGGTATTGGGGCAACTCAGCTAATTGTTTGGTCTGTGGAGGTTTGCCATGATTGTAAATGTTGGCCGCAGCTGTGTGTCCTCCTCTCGCTTTAGGGTCTCACTATGCACGCCCGGAGCCCAGATGCTAAGCGAACCCCAAGCCCGGAGCCCTAAGCCCGAAGCCCGAAGCCTTAAAACCCTAAGCCCCAAACCCAACTGCTTCGACTCCTCTGAGGTTGAAGAAGAAGAACCACGAGGAACTCTGCCGGAAGCTCCAAGGCCAAGTCACCGCGCGAGCCACAGAGTTGGCTTGCGGGCTGCGGCGGTTGACTGCCGTTCGGGCTTTCCGGACCTTTAGGGTTTGGGGGCTTGGGGGTTTAGGGTTTAGGGTTTAGGGTTTAGGGTTCCCCTAACCCCCAAGGACAGAAAGCTACAAGCTGGATCCTGGAGTACAGCGACAGCACTGGACAAGAAATGTTGTTTTGTAAAGAGGGTACCATCAGTTTCCGAAATAAGCCACCTCAAAGCATGCGGGTGTCCTCGAATTCTTGACCCAGTCCTCGGATCCCCCAAATCAGCATTTCCGGCCGCGGTTCCCCCCCCCCATGTCTTCTTAAACGCTGCCGTCACCGTAGCTGCACGGCCAAGGACCTGCAAGCAGAGGTCGAGAAACTCAAGAGCCCCAGCTGCAAGAGACGCTACTCGCGCGGCTAGTCAGGTCCGGGAGGCTTTCGGAAGCGCTTAGAATGTAAAGCAGTCGTTAAGCTCTGAACCCTGGCAGGTTGTACGGGCTGAGGGAGGGCTTAGGGTACATTTCGCAGGCGGCCAGGACGGCAAGCCGTCGGAATCGGCCGTGTGTACGATTAGCACGCACCGAAAAAGAACCCTGCACTAGGCCTGTCTACATCCACGACTTCAGACTCCACGGCTCTCCGCACCGAGTGAAACCTCCCAAGCCACGGGTCCCAAATCGGCCGGTTCCGAGGCAGCAGCTGGCCACCAAGAACATCCCATCGAAGGGCCGGGGCACCTGTGGGGTGACCGTGTTGCCGTTTAAACTTCTTGGTACTGGAGCGTCGAGGGCCGCAGAGCTTGTTAAGAGGCGCTGCGCCCCGAGGCGATGAGAAAGAGGACATGGAAGCGCTGAAGAGGCCCAAGGGACAAGGGAGGTCTCAGGTTGTGAGGCAAGTTGCATGGTTTGAGGCAGGCTTTGATGCTCCGAGGGTAGCTCGCCTCCTTCACAGGCTTCAACTTCCGTGATTGCTCAGTTGCGCACAGGAAGGCTGAATGGGCTTCATTGGGCTTCAGTGCATGATGGCGCAAGGACTTGTACTGTCATTCTGCAGCGTGCACTCAGCAAATCGCAGGCAGCTGGCATTGTTGAAGAAGCAGGTCGAATCCCAGGGCAAGGGCGACGCCCACGGCCCAGCCTGAAACCCCCTTGCATCCTTTGCCATTGACTTCGAAGCCTCAGCGGGTAGCCTGTGAGCCGTCGAAGTGCTCCGAGTGCGTGCCTCTGCAATGTTCTTGGTTTGCACCTGCGAAAACGAAAAGCGAAGACTCGGACTTCGTATTTTCCGTCAGATGCTCTCTCCGGACTTCATGTTTTGAGCATTAGCAGGATTCGGGGGATGTGGGCTTCAGCTCCCAGGCCATGAAGGACCTGATGAAGCAGAACGAAGCGCTGGACGGGCTTTGTTTAGGGTAGGGAGACCTCCAGGCATCGTTTGCCCGCTTTGCAGACCCCACCACCGAAATCTGAGAACCTGCAGTTGGGCGTGCCGGGCTGAGACTTATCTGGAACCTTGTTGGCGGAAGTTAGTTTAGGAGGGCTTGGAATTTAGGGTACTTTTTTTGGGGGTTGGGCCCTGAGCCTTGACGCTCCCCCCCGAGCCAGGAGTCGGAGCTCGCGAAGCTGAAGCAGCAGCTGTCGGAGAAGGTGGCGGAGGTCCAGGAGACAACCAAGGCCATGGACTGGGGTTATGGGTGTTCGGAAACTTCAGGGGTTCTTCAGCTGCGGGTTTTCTGTAGGGATGCGCGTCGGGGTAGGCCCAATTGTGGTTGACAAAAACCCTCAACCGTAAATGTGCGGCGAGGGCAAATCTCGGCAGGCAATCGGCTTCAGTTTAGGATTTTAGGGTTGGCGTTTATACGGTTTTATGGGCTTTGGGGTTTTGGGGTTTTGGGTCAAGAATTTGGGGGCTTGGGCTTGGCTCAAGGCTTACAGGGTCGGTGGTGAACCCTCATGTTGGCATCTGAACTGCCAGGCAGCGGAGACGGCGAGGAGAGCGATTCAGGGTTGTGTTTTTTCTTCTCGGGGGTATGCTTACTTTTTCCGGTAGCTGAGCTGTATTTTGTTTTAAACTGTTGGGTTGTTAATTTTGTATATGATATCTGAATACAACAAGTCTCATTCTCATCGAAGGTGAACCGAACATGTCAGAAGATTCCTCCGCTCCTGGATGCTGAGCTCTGGCCCTTGTTTATTGCATGGCTTTCAACGCCAGCAGAAGTTGCGCGGCTCGACGCTTCCCAGGAGGCAGTCTACGGACCTCATGAGCCAGATGGAGCTCATGCGAAAGGAGCTCGAGCGAGCCAAGAAGGACTCGAGTTGGATAGGGTTCCAGCCGTAAACCCAAGAGCCCAATGCCTAAACTTCAAAGAACAGTGCCTTGCTCACCACAAGATCGCACATGTTTGGAACTTGTAACCCTGAACCCGAAACCCGAAACCCTAAAGCCCTAAAGCCTAAAGCCTAAACCCTAAACCCTAAACCATAAAGCCTAAAGCCCTAAACCCCAAAGCTGTAAACCCCCCCCTAAAACCCTAAACAAGCTTGAACAGGACCTGGCCGAGGAGCGCCGCCTCGGACTCAGCGCTTCCCTCCCCAAATGAAGGCTTACGGTTTAGATTTGATGAGTATATAGGGTTTAGGGTTTAGGGTTTAGGATTGAGAATCATGCCCCTGAGCCCTGAAGGTTCAGGGTTTCGGGTTTGAGGGCTCATCAGAGGGTTTCCCCCCAAAAGTAGGGGTACCCATTTCTTGGGGTCCCACACTAAGGGTTCTATAGAGAGAGAGAGAGAGAGAGAGGGAGAGATTGATAGATAGATACGCCGACGAAGACCGTGACACCAAGGGCGCGCCCAGCGCGCGGAGGTTCAGGGACTTCTGCCCTGTCCTCCATGCCCGGTAGAAGAAGAAGATAGATAGATAGATAGATAGCTAGATAGATAGATAGATATATATATATATATATAGAAGGGGTAGTGAGTAGAGTGCTTAAAGGGCGTAGCGTTCAAGGTTGAAGAGATTCCCTATCATGATACGGAACCAGTGGTTTAGGGTACCCCAAAATCGAGGCCCTGATCTAGAAGACTGCCCACGTCGCGCGTTTGTTTTGCTTGTGAGTTTGTAAGTTTTCGTGGGCGCTTTTAGCAGGCCCTGAATCTACACGTGTTTCAGACTTTCAGGGTTAACGGGTTAACGGGTTTGGGGCTTCAGTTTCGGGGTTTTAGGGCTTGGTTTCATGGATGTTGGACCTTCGTTTATGTGCATTTGAGCTTGTTGTACTTCAAAAAGCCGCGCTGCCTCTCACGCCATGCGAACATTGTCGTTAAAGAGTTACCTCTTGGAACCCGACAATACGTCGCGTCTCGAGGTTGGGGGTTTGGGGCTTGGGCTTGCTGGAGCTTCGACGGCAATACTCTCCACCAGCCGTGGGTAGTTACTGACGCTTCAGCTTCCAAATGCACGAGTCTCATGTTCCTGGTTTCGAACCGTGTTCTGATTGTATATGGCATGTTTAAACTTCTTCACTTCAAAACATACTCCGTTGTCAGCACCAGGGGGATCCACGAGCACAGCAATAGTCTGAGTTCTCAGCCTAAGTCCGCTGTACCCGCTTGACATCTCCTGCAGTTTCTGGGGGCAATTATGAGGGGTTTACGATCATAAGGGACCCCTTAAAACCCCCAAAGAGCAGGCTCCCCAAAAACAAGGGACCCCATGAAGGTACCCCCCCATAGAATATCGTAAACCCCCATACCCTAAACCCTAAACCCTAAACCCTAAACCCTAAACCCTAAACCCCTAATTCACTGAGGTCGCAGCGCGCAACTACAGGCGGAATTGGATCCTGAGGGCGAAGGCATCCTAGGGCTCGAAAAACATCCCCATGGGGCTCAGAAAGGGGGTTTACGAGAATAGGGTTTAGGGTTTAGGGTTTAGGGTTTAGGGTTTAGGGGCCTTTTTTGGGGAGTTCCTCTAGTGAGGTTTATGTACCTAAAACCCATAATGAACCACATTCCCTGACTATTCCAATTCGATAAATCAGAAACCCAACAGCGTGAAGCTAATCATACGCAAAACCACCTGTGCAGGGTACCCCGATTTGGGGAAATGCCCATATTCCAGCATTTTTCATGCTGAGGTTGCAACCTAAGGAGCTGCACCTTTGCATGCCCCCCTGCAGGGCGATCTTCCGGGGACAGCCCGGAGCTATCGCAGGCGAACATGCGAGTAAGGAAGCTGGAGCGGCCTGCCAGAACTGGGGGCCTGGGGGTGTTTGGGGCCATTTATGCTTTGTCTTTCCGGCCACTTGTTTTCGGCTAAAGGACAGATCTGCTGTTGTCTGGGGTTTCGGCATATTTGTGCAGGCCTCAACTGTACTTGCACAACACCAGAGAGGCAGAAGGTTCAGGCCTACGGAAACAGGAGGAGTTTGGGTGTTTTGAGACGCTTCTGGCATGCTGGCAAGTGTGAGATGAAAGATTTTTGAAAAAAAAACAAGCCCTGCATTTCTGGCACGAACCTCTTCTGCTTTGCTCCTCAAAACAAGGCAGACGCTCAAGAGCGTTCGTGAGGAGAACGAGCAGCTCAAGAAGGCCAGGGACCCAACCACAACCTCCAAAGAAGCCTACAGTGCTGAACGTCCCTAAACCTCTCTACCATATGACCCTGAATGTTAAGCACGAATTGGAGAATTTGATCAATTTCGTTTTTTTTCACCCCCCCCATTGTTCAGCACGAATTGGAGAATTTGATCCATTTCGATGGCACTTACCCCTCCAACCCCCCATTGTTCAGCACGAATTTCAGAATTTGATCCAATTCGACCCCTCTTACCCCTCTCACCCCCCCATTGTTCATCACGAATTGGAGAATTTGATCCATTTCGACCCCTCCGACCCCTTTGACCCCCCCATTGTTTGGCACGAATTGGAAAATTTGATCCATTTCGACCCCTCTTACCCCTCCAACCCCCCCATTGTTCAGCGCGAATTGGAGATTTTGATCCAAATCGACCCCTCCGACCCCTTTGACCCCCCCCAGTATTCGGCCCGAATTGGAGAATTTGATCCATTTCAACGCCTCTTACCCCTCTAACCCCCCCATTCAGCACGAATTGGAGAATTTGATCCATTTCGACCCCTCTCTTACAAATCTAACCCATTATTCAGCACGAATTGGAGAATTTGATCCATTTCGACCCCTCTTACCCGTCTAACCCCCCCATTGTTCAGCACGAATTTCTATGTTCGTAATGTTATGGGATTCTTTGGGCGGAGTGTTTTTGTTTTTTTTCCTACCTACCTACCTACCCACCCACACACACACAAACACACAAACACACAAACACACAAACACACAAACACACAAACACACAAACACACAAACACACAAACACACAAACACACAAACACACAAACACACAAACACACAAACACACAAACACACAAACACACAAACACACAAACCACAAACACACAAACACACAAACACACAAACACACAAACACACAAAACACACAAACACACACACAAACACACACACACACACAAACACACAAACACACAAACACACAAACACACAAACACACAAACACACAAACACACAAACACACAAACACACAAACACACAAACACACAAACACACAAACACACAAACACACAAACACACAACACACACAAACACACAACACACACAACACACAAACACACACAACACACAAACACACAAACACACAAACACACAAACACACAAACACACAAACACACAAACACACAAACACACAAACACACACAACACACAAACACACAAACACACACAACACACAAACACACAAACACACAACCACACAAACACACAACACACACACACACACACACAACACACAAACACACAAACACACAAACACACAAACACACAACCACACAAACACACAAACACACAAACACACAAACACACAACAAACACACAAAAAAACACACAAACACACAAACACACAAACACACAACCACACAACCACACAACCACACAAACACACACAAACACACACACAAACACACACAAACACACACAAACACACACAAACACACACAAACACACACACAAACACACACAAACACACACAAACACACACACACACACACACACACACACCCACACACACACCACACACACACACACACACACACAACACCACACCACACAACCAAACCAAACACACACCACCACACACAACACACACACACACACACACACACACAACACACACACACAAACACACACACACACACACACAACACACCCCACACAACACCAAAACACACACACACACACACCAACACACACAGACACACAGACACACGACACACAGACACAGACACACACACACACACACACACACACAGACACACACACACACACACACACACACACACACACACACACACACACACACACACACACACACACACACACACACACACACACACACACACACCACACACACACACACACACACACACACACACACACACACACACACACACACACACACACACACACACACACACACACACACACACACACACACACACACACACACACACACACACACACACACACACACACACACACACACACACACACACACACACACACACACACACACTTTTTGTTTTAGTGCGTCCACATAAACTGGTAGATGGAGATGCTCCGAAGGTAGAGATGCTCAAGCAAGAGGTAGTAGAGGAGCCCGAAAGTGATGAGGTAGAAGGGTCGCGAATGAAGGTTTATATGAAATATGCTATAAGGTACTTGAAATGCTCCTGCAACTGTGCTCATCACGCTCAGATGCTCTGCAAGTCATGCTCTGATGCTCCACCACTCATGCTCAAACAAGCTTGCTCACCACGCTCAGAAGCTCTACAATTCATGCTCTGATGCTCCACAAGTCATGCTCGCACAACTCTGCTCAGCACGTTCAGATGCTCCACGATTCATGGTCTGATGCTACACACTTCATGCTCCCGCAACTCTGCTCATCGCGCTCCGATGCTGCACAGTGCATGCTCATATGCTCTAACACTCATGTTCCGAACCTTCTCCATGCTTTCGTCCATCATCATGCTCGACATGTTCCATCACCATGCTAAAATGACATGCTCACGCAATTCTGCTCAGCTGCTATTCACAACACACAAGCTGAAAGCATCACGATCCACTCAAGCTTGATGGGCTCGAGGTCTTCTGGGGTTTGGGGTATGTCATGCTCACGGCATCGAGAATTCACCCATGCTCAAATACCAAATGCCCAAAATGAAAATCTCGTTCTTGAAGGACTGGTTGAAGCAACAGCAATGATGCACCATACACAGCTTGCGTTACAGGACGTCTATAACCATCACTGCAGGTACGTGGAGATGGCGTCCCATCTCCATATCACTGTGCACTGAGAGCGTCTTCGTTGGCAGGAGACTCTCAGGCACACTCCTGCCCCCTGCTGAATATCATGTGCAAAAACTTGTTAGATCGCAAATTCGTGCTTCTTTTCACTCTCGTATGCAGTGCTTGTTGACGTTCCCGCATGTACAGCGGTGTGCCACACACACCCCTTTCGGGGCGACAAATGGATTGAGAGCATGGAATTCACACGTAGAGGTAGTCCAAGTCCACGAACTTTTCAGCTCTTTGTTTGGCTTGTTTGTGCGGTGCCGTGATCAGGTGGATTTCCCATTGTCGCACTGTTCTGGAAGCAATCCTGCAAATTGGACAGGCGAGATATCTGTCCTCCTTTGGGTGGCGTTTCATCTTCTTGACCTTCCCGTACTTGTGATGCTTCCGATGTCGATTGGGATTTGGACACGATCTGCTTCTGGGTGTATGGTAATCATCTCGTTTTTGGTACTTCAGGAGCATGTCTTGCACCCGCTTGGTACTCTCCTCGTGACTCATCACCTTCTCGAAGTCCGCCCTGGTCTGGATGTAGCGGAAGTGGTACATGATCTCGTGGCTGGTCATGGGATCGTGTTGCCGATGTTAAGAAAGCACGGGTAGCAAGGTGATGGGAACAGCTACTCTTTATGCGAAGCAGCTGCACATGACGATCACAAGGCAGCGGATCAAAGAGAATGTTACATCGACTTACGGCTCCAGTCTCTTTCGCTCAACAAATGGTTCGGACACACTAGGATGACATTGCACAGACACTTGACGCTCAGCATTGACGCTTGTTCTGTTGTTCATCTGGTCGTGGAATAGCCCTGTGTGAAACTGCGCCGAACACTGATTGTCACACGTTTTGGCACAATTGCACACTCTCTCAAAACTGAAAGATGCTCTGCATGCGTTAAGGCCTGCGTCGGTGGTGCATCTAAGCCGCATGTTCCTACTCAGCGCCCATAAGGTCTGATGTCAGTGGGGGATGGGGTTGAGGATATTACGGTCTGCACGTCGAGCATGGTTTGAACAACATCTCAACCTCTGCCTTCTGGTAGGACTTGACGTCTTGCTCGGCTGAATTGATTATCTTACCGCATCCTTTGCGATGATAGATGGTGCTCTTCTTGGTGACAAACACTACGTTGGGGTCCACTTCGTTGTTGAGGTTTGGGTGAGTGCGAGTGGACATCTTGGGTTTCGGGTCGAGGTCGATGGGTTTGTCACCATGACAAAGAGGAGCGAAACCCTTGTAGTCGTGGAAGCGGGTGTTGGATGCCGATGCCGAGCTTGGGGTCGTAGCGCGTGTGGAGTCTGGATTGCCTTCTGTTTTGACCTTCTTGGACGCAGGGGGATCACGTTGCTCTTCAGGCTCTCCGAGGGGTCTGTGGCCGTGTTGGAGCCTTTGAACGTCGTTGCACATGATGGCGTTGGTGATGTGTTGTGCGGCTAGAGCTTTGTCATGGTCCGGTAGCCGGAGGTAGCATGTGGTGATGTCGTTGGGGTCCGATGCGGCCATGATGAGCCATGCCGCCATCACTTCATTGGACGCCATTGCGCTGTGATGAGGTCTGCGTGGTCACTGGGCTGTCTACTTCAGATGGGAAAGCAGTGGTGGGGGCAGGGGAAGGGAAACATATCAAGCACACTGTACAACACAAGAGTCAGCATGAGCTTCTCCGACGTTTCTTTTAGCTGTGTGGTCAGCAGTGGGTCTGAGGTCGGAGGTCGCGGTCATTGTCTTAATGATCGGGATGGGTTGTGACTGGTGCTCCACTGTGTCCGAAGTCCGTCAGCCGCATGTAGTGGTAGTTGAGCAGGTATTCCCTGTTGTCGTTGAGCGCGTGGTGCATGATGTTCTGGATAGTTTGGTTGTGCTGCCGCATCCAATGTATCGTGGCTGTAGCAATGGGTTTGGGTCGCATCAGGATGGCCACCGCATCCTTGTAGTAGTTGATCATCAAGGTCGTGGCGAAGGTGCGATCACATTGGGCTTGTTGTTCCACTATGTCCCTGTGGTCATCTGAGTTGGTGAAGTTGTAGCTCTGTTGGCAGTACGACGCAATGTTCTTGAGGAGGATGTACACTTCGCTGGGTGACATTCTGATGTTGAAATCGACTTCTTGATGTACTTGCCACGTCCAAATCTGGTTGGTGATGG